CCCCAAAACCCCAAAACCCCAAAACCCCAAAACCCCAAAACCCCTATATGAAGTTCACTAAATCTCAAAAAGAAAATATTAAAAATGAAAGCAAAAGAGAGCACAAAGAAGGCTTGTATTTTAGATGACAATGACCTTGTCCATATACAAGGGTTCACCTTTACAAAGCCTAATCTTTATCAGTTCAATCCTAACAGTGGAGATTTTATATACGGTGTTGGCTCAAATATTGTAATTTATGATTCTAAAAACAAGAAGCAAGTTAGATTTCTGAAAAACTCAAGAGGGCTACCTTTTTCTTGTTTCAAATTTTCTCCTGACGGAAAAGATCTTTACACAGGTGAATACATGGCTAAAGAAGCATGAATCAGACACTTTTCTGTCTCGGAATCAGAAGGGTTAACTTCTACATCTTTCTCCATTAAAACTAAATTCCGTACTATTGACGGAATTGAGATAAATTCTAGTCAGACTCACCTTTTAATTTATGGATCAATAAAGAGCACAGAGAAGAAGGAGACCAGAAAGATAGAGGTGTACAAGATTGACACAAAAAAGCTATTAGAGAGTCATCAAACTTCTTACAAAGTAAAGTGCTCTACCTTCATTGAAGATACTTTTTATATCTCATCAAAAGAATCAGTTTATCAGATCTCTAGCAAGTCGAAATGGAAGCCAAAGATGAAGAAAAGGTTCACAGCTGATAAGAGAACTATAGCTGATATGGTTGTAAAAGAGTCATGACTTTTGACGATTCTTGATAACGGTGAAATTCGCATCATTGACTTAGCCCAAACTAAATCTGAAGAGGTGATCAAACTTTCTATTGAAGATTTAACTCCTGTGTCGATGGAAATCTGAAATGGAAACTTGATAATTGGGTGAACCAATGGAGCAGTATATTATCTAAAGAACGAAAACTTTGATACCCTGATAAGGTTACCCAACCCTCCCTTCTTGGGAGAGAATTCATCAGAGATCCCTCAACTTAAGGAGTTTCCGGACAGCAGAGTTGTAAAAGCATTTAAAGACAAAATTGCTGTTTTATTTAATGACAAGACAATGGTTTGGTACCAGGTCTGAGAAGATGGTGAAATCAAGGTTTTTAATATCATAAAGAATCATTTTGAAGGAGTATATAGCATTGATTGATACCCTTCTATTCATAATGATTATCAGTTTGCTTTCCTTACAGGGTCTGTCGACCGAACACTGAGAAGATGGATAGCTAATATTGACCAGAATGATCTTTCATGTCAAATGAATGAAGATAAGGTTGGACTTCTTTGAGATAATTTTAATCATTTGAGATCAAAGAGTGGGGCTGAAGAAGGAGGTGGAATAGGCAAGGTCCGAACTATCTCAGTAAGCAAGAACATAAATCTCCCTCATATTGTATGAGGTGATTCAGCAGGCTTTATGTGGATATTTAACCAAGCTGATCTCTCACTTGATAGCCTTAATGAAATTCACAACAGTGAAATTCTTGGAATCAAATATATGGAGCCAAAAGATTGAAAAGATAAGAGGTCTTGCAAAGTTGTAACTTGTGCTAAAGACAAAAAGATTAAGATTTTAGATGGTCAACAAGTCTATGATGAAATTAAGTCCTTTGAGTATCATAAATCTCCAGTAGTAGGACTTGAAGTACTTTATGACAAAAGAAGTGATGATCTCAAAATTGTCTCAGCTGATACAAAGGGGACCATTCAGACTGTTTCAGTTGATGAGAATTTAGAAGTTTCTAAAAATAAGAAGAAGAATCTATCTTCAACTAAGATTTATAGTATGATATCGAAAGAAGATACAATAATGATTGGGACTGATAATAAACTTCAGGTTTTAACTTGTCGAGAAGATAGAACAGTTTCTCTTGATCATAATGTTGCTCCTAAAAGCACTCTTCCTAAGGAATACATCAAGTTAGAGACAGATGAAGTTTCACTCTATCTTGTTGCATGTTCTAAAAAGAAGAGAGATATAAACTTTATTGAGTTGAAGACAGGCAATGTTGTTCACAGCTTTACCTGTGGTGAAGTCATTACTGGGATAAAGTACTCTCCCGATTATAAGTTTCTGATTACCTCCACAAGCACAGGATGAATTTATATATGGAATGTACCTTCTCACATCGAAGCAGCAATCAAATTCAAAAGGGGGCAGAGCAGTATTAACCTTACCGAGAATCCTATTCCAGGAGATGAAAGAATGAGAACTGGAGTGCAAAACTCCCTAGATTCTTATATCGACCCGAATCATACATTAAAAACAACTGAAACTGGGACAACACCTGAGAAAGAAAGGAAAGTGTGGGGAACTTTCCATAATAAGAGCCCAAAGCCAAAGGTCCCCGAGATTCCCAGCTGGGCTGAATCGACCTGTAGAATTGATGAATCAGAGGAATCAAAAGATGCCAAAAGATGGCAAACTGATAAAAAGAAAAGCAACGATCCTTTCGCCCTTCTCAAACAAACAGTGAGTGGCAGCGAAGGAGATATCAGTGATGAAGAAGAGAAGGAAATTGATATTTTGAATGAATTCTTGGTCAATGCCGACCATAGTGAAACCCATTCGGATGTAGATAACGCATTTGACTTTGAAAAACCAGAGAAGACTGAAGAGAGAGTAGATTCTAAGAAGCTTATTATCAGCCAATCAAGGATTGGAGATGCATTGAGAAACAGCGTGTTTGAAAGAGAGAAATAAAAGAAAATCAGCCTTGGCTTCATTGTCTCAATCTACCATTGATGCTCCTCTCAAACCTTTGATTAATACAGCTTCAATTAAAGGAGCTATCCAGGAAGATAGCAATGAAGAAAATGATAGTACTATTCAAGAAATAAATTCGATTCAAAATGGGAAAGGTAAATCTATAACTAACTATTTCTAAAGATAAGCATAGTCCAAAATTCAAAGAGGTTGCAAAAGAAGGAGCATCCAATAAAACTCAAAAAAATATTGAGAATGAGTTGAGAGAAAATAGCTCTAATGTTTTGAATAATCCTGCTCTGGAAACCCAGGCATTATGTACTTTCGCTGCATCCAAAAATCTTGAATCCAGGTATTCTCTTTTGAGTAACCTTTAGTAGTCAAGAGGAAAGTAAAGAAAATCCTGATGATGAAATAGAGATTCAGAAAAATGTAAAATAATCCACTAACATTTTAGCTTCAAGTGGCTTTTGATTCTTTACAGGCAGCTTCTGAACACTTCAACAATGCTAAGTCTAAGAAACTGAAGATCTCACAGAAGACCAAAGATATGATGATGATGCTCTCTAGTTCGATAACAAGCATGCAGTATGCTGCTTTTAACGCAATAGTTAACCATAATGAAGATTAATAAAATTTCAATCGATTTTACTGTAGAAGGGGTTTTGGGGTTTTGGGGTTTTGGGG